TATTTCACAATTTTTTAATATTAACTATTTTCATAGGTTGCCCAAAAATCCCAAAAAATGCAACGACACTCTTGCAGCGAATGTGCGATATGTATATATGTACATATATTTGTATATCGAGCTCTAAAATTTCATTTGAGTATCTGGATGCACATCTGTATCAAAAAAATACCATTAAAAACTGTTTAGGTTACGGCTCGATTTGTAAGTAAATAAATAAATAAATCAAATCTATCAAATAAAATACCGGAGCGGATGAAAAAAAAAACCTTGTTCTGCAGCCCTGTTTGGAAGGGCGGAATTCGACGATGTAGTCGTGTCTTAACATAAAATCTTGTCAAAAATAATTGTTGCAAATTTTTAAGGTTATTCAAGAATAACATTTTAAATGGACTTTTTCAGTAAATATTCGTCCTTATGCACCAAAAAATTTAAACTTTTTTAATTCTATAGAATTTTTTCTTTCATATGATAACCAAATTGTTCTACATTGCACTGAGTTTTTTAAATAATTTTTTTTTGAATATATCATATCTTTAAAATTTCAAAGTCCTTTTAAGAAAAATCCTGACGTCAGAGAGGAAAACTGAAACGTAGTTTAACGTTTTGAATGAAATTAATGAAAATGTTTTCAGTCTTATGTTTTTCTTATCTTTCCAATCATTTAATCAATATCATGCAATTGTTTCTGAGAGTTTTAGGATCGATTCGCGACCCACTAGTGGCTCGCGACCCACCGGTTGGCAACCGATGCTCCAGTAAGCTTTACATATACATATGTACAACCGCATACATACATATATTAATTTACAAGTGCGCTTTTCACTTAAATAAATAATGGCTTACAAAAGCGCTCATGTATTCAGACGATCATATTCCTACATAGTATTTACATATGTACGCAGATGAACGTTCATTTTTATTACAACTCAGCAGTTGCGCTTAAGAAGCAGTCAGCCTCCTCTGCCTATGTAGATTTGCTCCACTGTACGGCCACATGGCTGCATGACTGTGCGGGGGCACTTGTGGGGCCATTACATTTAAAAATGAGCAATGCTTTCCAACGCTTACGTTAACATTTATTGCACATTTAAACTCTCTTACATGCATACCATTATACAAGTGGGTACCCGTGTAAATAACTACACGCTTAATAGGTGGCGATGTTCAACGAAAATTTTCAGTTTTTAAATTGTTGAGGAAATGGGACGTTGTTCCACATAAATTTCTGACAAGCAGCTAAATATACTTTGAGCCACTTGAAAGTGTATTTTCAACTTTCAAATGCTTGTAAAAGTAGTCAATGCGTAAGGATTTATAGAGAAATAAATAATATGCAATCGACACACCTTTACAATGTATATGAATTTATGTCATGACATGCTAGAGAATTTATACTTCCATTAACCATAAAGCGACAGTCGATAAGATAATAAATAGTTCGTAGAAGAAACACTTCCCTGCGGGGAAAGCTACTAAGTAGTTGTGAACTAGATTCTACCAGTTTGCGTTTCAGCCCAACTAGATAGTTCACGTTCTACCCTTTTTCAATGTTAGCTACTAGTATTTTAACATGGCGATGTTCTACGAGATGTCAATTGTCCGGTTATGCATCAGCATCTACTAGTAGAAATACTAGTAGCATCATACCAGTTGATGCGGTAGTCTGCCAATTCAAGCCCCGTAAAAAGAATAAGTATGCAATATTGCTCGCGGCGATCCAACAATCGCAATTTCCGACCGAGCAGAGCACTGGCGTAGTATTCCATAGGTCCAAGGTTCAAGTCCTGGCGCAGGGCAATTTTTTATTATTTTTTGAAATTTATTTTAATTTTATATGTATATACGTACATTATTAATTAAATTTACAAAAAGTACAATGAACCTAAATAAAATAAAAACAAAGTAAGTGCGCCTGGGCCACACTGGAGAGTGAAACTTACGTTACATATCTATTTTGTCTCATAACCAATATATGTACATGCATACATACATACATCTGCTTTTGCTTAAGATTATATTTTTTATCTTTTTTTCTATCTAGATCCCTACCTCTACCCCTGTTTCTTCTAATTACATTTCTGTATGTTATTCTATTTACATTTTTCTTCATTTTTACCTTTATTCTCTATCGATAACAAAATCAATAGTAACATCCAACAAAATATCGATAACAAAACCAATAAAAATATCGATAACAAAATCGATGACAAATTGGATAAAAATTTCGATAGCAAAATCGATAATAATATTGATAGCAAAATCGATTAGAAAATCGATAACAAAATTGATAAAAATATCGATAACAAAAATTGTTTAGAAAATCGATCAAAACATCGATAACAAAAACGATAAAAATATCGATAGGTTCCGAAGACATCGATAGAAAAATCGATACAAATTTCGATAACAAAAACGATAAAAATATCGAATATAAATTCGATAAGTTGGTTTGAGTGGACATGTGAAAAGTTGGTTGGGAACGTGCGTAGCGGGGCATCTTCTCATATTGAACATAGGTTAAGTATGTCAGGGTTAATTTTATTTCACCTGTTACAATATCCAGAATAGAATTACGAAAATAACGCGGAAAAGAGATGACGAAGGAATTAATGGACTCTCGATCAATGTTGCTTAAGACCTAATAGTGCGTCTGGTACAGCGAATAGCATAAGCTTGGTCTTTGAGATTCACTAGGTGGATTCTGACGCAGTGCATTCTAGGTGGAAGCTACACTGAACCAAAAAAATACTAAAAACCGCCGTAAAGTTAACATTTTTTGTTTACAATTTGCAACTGAAGTGAAAAAATGTTAATTTTAACATTTCGACACTATCATTTTTACGTGAAATTTATGTACATGAAACACGTAAAATTAACATGGCTATCATGTATTATTGATATGATACTCATGTATAATTAACATGATATTTATGTAATACTTACGTGACAGTAACGTTAAAACTACATTCAAAAATTGTTAATTTGAAATGATACTTACGTGACAGTAACGTTAAAACTACATTTAAAAAATGTTAATTTCAAATGATACTTACGTGAGAGTAACGTTAAAAGTACATTTAAATAATTATGATTTGAAATGAAAATCACATCAAATTGAAATTATTTTCAATAAATTTATTATTTTTTTTTTAAATAAATAGGCACATATTTACATATTTTTAATATGAATAAACAGGTACTAAAAATTCTTATTTCTTATAACAGGAGTTCCTTCGTAAATGTAGTACAAATGAATAGGTGGGCTTGTGAAAAACTCAACATTTTTTAATTCAATAACATTGTTTATACAACCCACTTTGTACGATTGATAGTGCTCTAAGAAACCAATAATTTCATATTTGTGGACTAGAAAGTAAGCCTCATTATTTAAACTTATAAGTATTTCTTTTATTTCATATAGTTCAATGACTTCGTCAGTAGTTTTTGTTAAAAAGTGGCCCTTTTTATACGTCGTTCCCTTAAAGTTTACTGATTTAACTTTTAAATTATTTGCGAACAAAGATTCAAAATCTCGAAAATTCACGATATTGTTAAAATACCTACAATCTTTAATCCGAAAATGCTCAGTTTGTTCATATTGAGTTTGGTTAGGAAACCCATCGTTATGGACCCTTATAAATGTTGTAAACTTTAAAGATGCTTTCATGCTTAGACTATAGGTTATATTTTTTCTGGAAGTAATACTTCTTGCATACATTTTTGCTTCCTTGTGCTTAGATTCGAATCGAAAAGTCCATAAGTATTTAAGAGGGCCTGATTGTTTTATGACACGCACATAATGATTTAAAAAGTGAAATTTAGGTTTAAGGGGCTTGTGAAACAATTCCAAATACTTTTCATTATGGGATTTTATTAAAGAATCTAACTTAATTAAATAATTTGTATCAAATGAGCTGCTATTAATCATGTCAATAATTTTGAGGAGCGTTAAAAAAAATAACCAACATTCGTCGTTGTCTGGAATGCGATCTCCTATGATTAGAGGAAGGAAATGTACAAACGTCATCATTTCTCTAGCCGACATTTTGAGATTGCAACTAGAAAGGTGTGTTAATTCAAAAGGAGGTGATAAATTTCCGATTTCCGTTTCACCGTAGTTAAACATCTGCTTCCTATAGTTAAATGCTTCTAAGGAAAATAATTTCTTTTCAATTATGAAATATTTTAGAATTTCACAAATATCATATTTACAAACTCCCTCAAACAAATCGTGTACTATATCTACCGCAAAATTAGTTGTTGCATGAAAAGATATTAAATCATTAAAAAGGCAATTCGATTTTATACCAGTAAGCTTAATGTCGTTAGTTGCTAATGCCGCATTATAATTTTCCTCAGTCCTGATGAAGTCTGGATACTCCACGCAATCTAAATGCATCTCAGCTTTGTTTCTCCTACAGAATCGGCAATAGTAATTCGAATTGAAAGAAGTTGTAAAACCAAGAACGTCATTTAAGCCTAAATTATCACCAAGAATATTACACATTACAAAGTAAATTTTTTCAGTACTATTATTTAAATTAAATTGTAGACCGTCTTCTTCAAGAGACTTAAATATATCAATTAGTGGCTTCATAAAAGGCTCATTTCCAAACATTTTTTGTTCTTTACTTTTGAAGTATGCTGCTACAAATATGTAGTTCAGATTAGACAATAGATATTGCGGCAAAGTTGGAAAAATATAATAAACACCACAAATTTTGTCTATATTTGCATGACTACCCAGCGGATTATTAATTTCAAAGCTATCCATGTAAATGAAAAACGGTATTATAGTTTTACCAACAAAAAACTTTAACTTTTCTTTAAACGAAGCAGAGTTTATAAAATGCGTGATTGAGGATGAATTAACCAGGTCTTTTATATTATTTAAAGTAATTTCCAGAACTGAAGGCAATTCGAAAAATTTTCGAATTTGAAATTTGATCGGCATTATGCAACCAAACACATTACCTGCTTTTAAAGTTGGTCTATTATTTATAATAACTTCACACAATTCATTGTTTATATTAAAAAACTGTGGTTTTGAAAATTCGTCTGATTCTTCAATGCTTTTGAATAACTTATATTCGGTTTGAAAGTCTTTGAATGGGTTTTCGTAATAATTAACTAAGTCTATAATATATTTTCTTTCATTTTCAGGCGTATAGCAAAAAAGTTTATTTTTTAATGGTTCCACAACGCTAAAAATTATCGCAGACACACTATCCTGAATTGATAGAACATCTTTTCTGGTCATGTTGCTCTTAGTATGTAAATCTAATAAAAACGATTGACATTTTTTTGATACATTTAACTTACTTTCTTTAATTTCGCAAGTATCGCAAGAAGGTTTAGTTGAGGCTGCTATTTGAGCAACTATTTTAGCGCTATCGTTTACATAGGGTATATCAAACTTAGTTCTTTTAGATTGTGGTGATATTAGCTCACTTTCGGTGAAATGTTTCAAATGGTTTTGGGTATGCCTTTTAAAACAATACAGGTTTGAAAATAATTGATTACAATTTGAAAAAGTACATTGAAAGTCACTATTGCGTGACAAGCGATGAGCATCTTTAAAGTGTTTAAGTAGTATTGAGAGTTCAATAAAAACTCTATCACAAGCAAAACATTTGATTTCTTTACTCATTTTTTATTTATGATTTAAATAAGGTCAAAAATTCACATAAAGCTGAGCTTTTTATGTCATAGACCGTTGTTATCTTGTAAATTTGTTTTTGCAAAAAATACCACATCAAAGATGACTCTCTTGGATACTCTAAGTTAAGGACATGAAATACTTTAAAACAAATGTCTAAAGCAGCTATAAATGAGTGAAATTTTTGTAAAGTTCCCCCATAATTTACATAAAACTCAGTTAAACTTTTTATATCTGAACCTACTACAATAAGATACGGTTGAATTTTTTCTTTCCTGTGCATCGATTTTTTTACCTTCTCTGCGTACGTAAATTCCAGATCATTTATATTCGTAATATGTACAATGCAACTGTCCATAGCATCTCGAATAGTAGTTTTACTAGTAACACGCTTTCCATCAATTTCTGCAACATATCGTGATGTGGGTTTCAGTACAGCATTTAGCAGCATTATCAAAATGCAATCTTTGGAATCTACATTTAACAAGAAAAGTATTATTTTAGTTTAAAAAGTATCTTATTTATATGTATGAACGTGTACACATAAATATGTATGTATATAATATATATGTTACTCACTGTCGTTTACACATTCGTTGCTTACTGACCCAAAAAGATCTACATATTGTTTATCCCTCAACAAATCTTTATAAAGTTGGCCAAGTTGGTTCCGCATATCTGTCCAATTATTAATTAGGTGGAAATTTTCGTCTGGGTACATTTTTTGGAAGTCAAAATCGAGCTACATACATAAATTAAAAATAAAAATATGCGCATGTAAGTGTAACTACATTAGTGTGTTTTAAAAAAGTTTAAGTACGTACAAATTTTGGTCCTGTAGCTTGTTTGTAGAATGGCCACTCTTCCAGGATTGACGTTAGGTCTTTTAAATCACGGATATGATTAACCCGGTATTTATATGTCTCGCTCCATAAGTTAATTGCATCGCTTTCGTCACCACTCATAAAATACATTTTATTCTTAAATGAAATGTAATTAGTGGAGCATAGTGTTTCCCTCTCAGATGCATTCTGTTCCTCTGACGTGTTGCTATCAAGTCTTATGCGCTTGCGATTCAAGTTATTGAAGCGATTGTATAAATTACCAGATGCATTGGTTTTCCGTGCGTCCTTGCGAGATATGTAATAGATTTCCTTATTTTCAGTAGGAAAAATTGCTACAATTTCTTCAGCCAATTTATTCATTTCATGTGGACGCGGTATTTTGTACTTTTTCGAATTTAAATCGAAGAAGTTTTCCACAATAATGTTAAGCAATCTTTTTCTATCACCTGCATCTAACTTTTGCTTCGTTTTATATAAGCTTAATAGAGATTGGCCACTTTTCGAGTTTTTCACCATGTCAATTACACTCTACAATAAAATTAAATTTAGAAAAAAAGCACCGCTTAAAAACAATCGTTACCGTGACTTCAGACGAAGTGGAATTGGTAGCTGGCGAGTCAAGAGGTTGATTTTCAATCCAATTTTTGATATTTGAGTTCATACTTAGAGTCGAAACAGATTCTTCTGGAAACTAAAAAGAAAATAGTTAATATTCAAACAAATTATACTAGTTACAACTTTATAAATAAATATATTACGTTATTGTGCTTCCAAAGCCTTATTTTTTCCCTTAGTTCTGCTCTATAACCGATATTTTCGTTCCCTGGAAATACCAACGCCAAGTCGTCACAGTTTATGTACTTCAGCCGGTCAAATGTGATTCCAGAAGCTTTAGATGGGTCAGTAAAAACATTATCCATTATGAAAGATTTTTATTAAAAACTAAAACAATCACCATAAAACTTGTCGTAAGCGGCTTCTATATTCATCTCTTTTAATAAGTCTTTTAATCGCTGATCTCCTCCTGATTGAGTTTCGACAATCTAGGAAAACAACATCGTAGTATTATGATCAGTCAATGTCGTTACAGCTTTAAGTTATACGTGTAAAAAACATGTCTATTATAGAAAATCATTTCTTACCTGTTCTAAATTTCCACTTAATATATCATACTGAGCAGATTGCGTTATGATTTCTCCATTTCCACCAATTTC